AATTCTGTTCACTTGAAAGACAACGTCTTCGTGAGGAACGGACAGCAAGTGTTGCAATCGTTTCAACAGTATTTCTGTCGACTCGAAGCCATAGATGGCTGAGTAGAGGGTCTCCGGCGACGAGGCCTTGTACTCCACGGGCAGGTCTTTGGCTGTGATCTCACGCAGACATGTCGTGTCGATAACGTTGGCCAAGAAATTGGTTAAACGCAAGACTAGTTCCGTGTCGTGACTCGAGTCCAGCAGTGAATACAAATTGATTGGCGCCTAAGAGAACACATGATAATAATTAAAACACTACTAATGATAGGCCACTCGAGTGCTTACCTTCGCGGCCAACAAATATGGCACAAGTTCTGCATTAGTGGAGAGATTGACCAACAGTTTGATGGCCTGTAGCCTAAGGGTGGGGTTCGGGTGCGAGAGAAGACACATGAGTTTGTCGATCGCTTCGACCATCAGATTCTGGTTGACGTCGCGAAGGGCCAGATTGGCCAACGCTCTGAGCGTCCAATTGGTTAACAAATCATTGTCTGAGCTCTTCACCCGATTCACTAACGCGGGAATGCATTCCTTCACAATTTCATCAGATTCTGGTTGACGTCGCGAAGGGCCAGATTGGCCAACGCTCTGAGCGTCCAATTGGTTAACAAATCATTGTCTGAGCTCTTCACCCGATTCACTAACGCGGGAATGCATTCCTTCACAATTTAACACAAGACTTACAATAAGACAAAATAAACCACAAAAATAGAGCATTGAATTACTTGAAGCAACTCCTGAGCCCTCTGACCATTGGCTATATTTGCGATGGCATTGGTTGTGGCCGTCCTCACGGCCTCACTCTTATGAAAGAGCAGTTCGTATAGCATTAAAATACATCCGGAATCGCATATCGTGTCCTTAAGATCACAAAAACAATTGTTTTAATAACAAAATGACATCAAAAACATACAAGTCTTAAACAATACGTACGATATTAACGGTAAACGCGCAGCAATTGGCCACAACTGACAGCGTTTTGATGATCAGATCCTCGTCGCGACTCATGAGTAAAATTGTCAAACTCTTGGAGTCCTGTTGGGAGAGGTTTGGCGTCGGTTTGCCGAAGAGTTTGTCGAGTATTCGCTTATGCATTAAGATCTCGGTCTCCGACGGCAGCGTCAGATCGATGGCCCGCTTGACGCCGACGTAACTGTGGGTCGACAGCACGCCGTTGGCCACAGGGCTCGAGGCGTTCAGCTTCTCGGCCGACCGACTGAGACGATCGCGCGATCCGTTCACTGCCAACATCGGTAGTCCCAGCGGCGGCTCTGGGCTCTGACCGCCGGACAGGTGTCTCCGCGGAGTATTGCCGCAGCTTTTGCTGCTCTTTGGCGTCAAATAGTTTTGTCCGCCGAATGAGTGGCGGAACTGGAAGTTAGTTGTGTTGACGAGCCGTATGTTGAGATCGCGGATTCGATCCTCAATACTCTTAGCCCACGGGCTCCACAGCTCCGGAGGAATGTCCCGAAAGGCGGCCGTCCGTTGGCGCACACCGACGGGTAGTGTGAGATCCGTTTGACTCGACGCGTGACTCAATGGTCCGCCAAATGTGTCGCCGCCGTCGGCACCGCATCCGTTGGTGACCGTCAGCGACGGCCGGCAGTCCGTTGAGTCCGATTTGCGCCGTTTGTGGCACTTCTTGCCGCTGTTGTGGTCATCGTTTGAGGCAAAGATATCCCGAAGAATAGAGAGACCGAAGTACGCGAATCCGGCCATCAGAGCGCCCGCCAACGCGATCTTACGGCCCGTTTCGTTGTCCATCACTTCCGGACGCTGTTGTGGCGGAAGTGCTGTTGACTATTGACTGAAACCAACAGCTGATCCAAAGACACGGATCGCTGAATGAGTGGACAGAAAATTGCAGTCAAATCACTGATTGAATGAGACTTTTAGTGATGAAACACAAACACTGTCTTAAGTAATGCTTGCAATCACTCTTGGGATCCATTGGCCACTGAGTTGGCCGTCATCTGCGGACACGTGTTTGCCATTCATTATCTCTCGACTCAATTTGTGTCCACTCTTTGATCTAATGATCAGTTTTTTTGTGTTTTTATCTCAAAAATCAAATGAATTTTTGTTTTGAATGTTTGGTACAAAATATCAAAACACTATTCCTATGAGACGTTCACAGAGACTGTGACGACATATTCATTATAACGCACCCCCGATGGCTCTCCCCTATCATTATATGCATTACAAACCCACTATTTATGACAGAATGCGCTCATCAAAAGTGGTACGTTATATACGGACGCAAACCCCTGCAGAGCGTGAAAAATCAATACAGAATTTGCGTGAATTGAATGCTTTGACTGAAACTCACGACTCGACCCATAGATGGCGTGCAAACACTACACAAGTTTTCATTAACTTTTAATTATAACTTAAATTAAATTATTAATTAAATGAGATATTAGTGTCCGGGTATTCATAATGGTTAAAATAACAGTATCCCACATCTAGCACATTTAGTTTATTAATAAGCACAATAGGAATAGGTTTTTATGATAAGTTTTATGTAAATTCTTGTCATTAGTTTTTTAATCAAGTTTTTAAATTTAATGTATGAAAACATTATATGTTTTAATAAATTATAATTCAGATAAAATTAATTAACATTTCAATCAATTTACGCTTGAATTTACAGAAAAAGCCAACTTAGAAAATACATAAAATTTAAATACTTTAACAAATGTTTATAACTTTCTAATGATTTTTACATTTAAGACAAAACTTCAAAAACAGTAATAAAATTTTCTCAACAAATAAGTTGATCGAGATTTATATAGATTTGAATTTTTAGTACATTTTTACCGAATTCTCTAATATTTTGTGATTTCTTCGAGTTTTCGGTTATTTTTGACTCAAATATCAATCCATTATTTTTGGACACAATTTCAGTGATTTAACAGACATTTGATTGAAAGTTGTGTTAAAACATGAATAAAGTTTTAGTACTTATTCTGTGTGTGAATTGTATTGAATGCCAAAGTATTTGTGAAGTTATTAAAGGAAATGCCAGTGATTTTGTGGGCATTCAGGCATACCATCGATGGAGAGATGAAGACAACAATACAAGGGATCAGTACGTGATGTACAGGAATGGCATTGAATGGGACTTTGAGATCAAGTGGAAGGGCTCTGAAGTGATTGGTATTGAAGTCTCAAAACAAGCCATCGATTCAATTGATTCAATTGATAACAAGACTATCAGTGCTTTTGGTGTCAAAAGTGATACTTTTGTTTACAACTGTTTGATTAAATACAAAACTGTAGGTTTAAAGGCATTAATTAAATTACAATTAATAATTAATTTATTAATAGGTGTTAAAAGACACCATTGATATTGAATGCAAAAACAAGACCGGAAAGCCTACAGCCAATGGATGGTTTGCATTGAAAACGAGTGCCGACTCTCCCGTCTTCGCACCGGTAGTCAACACATCCTTTAATACCGTTTATGTACTAAACAAACGGCTCAATGAAAAGGATGTGTGCTATGAAGTCGATGAAACTGATGTCACATTTCTTACTTTTAAAAAGTGTAAAAAGAATATAAACGTCAAAAGACTTGAATTTGTGACCAATTTGACAGATGATCGCCGAAACATTGATGCGGTCCTCGACTACAGCCGCGACTCACATAAGGGATACTTAGTGTTGATCAGAAGCAAAGGTCGGCCCAACTATTGCTTCATCGCTGAGAACCAAACATTTGAAGAACAGGTCTTAACACTTGATTTAGACATAGATTTGACAACTCTTTCGAAACTAACAAAACATTTACTGATTTAGTGTTTAAAGCGATCGAAACCTTATTTAGAGGAATGTTTCGCAGAGGAGGCGCCGAAGCATTGGCCCCTTTGGTTTTGGATTGCGTTAGCGTTTGCCGTTATCCTCTTCATTGGTTTGATAGCTTTTGTTATTTGGTTGAAAAAAGAGGGAATGTTTAGTAAGAAACACATTTTTACATATATTTAACACACAATTAACTAATAAGTAATCAAATCATATGTTTTTTGCCCCAAAACCTAATCTATTGGACAGTCGGTGATCCCAGCACTGTAAGCATTGATCCACAGTCCAGGTATGGGGACGAAAGCGTATCCCTTACAGCATCGCAAACAAGTGTGGCGTCAACTCCATCGACGAGAGGCCGAACCGGTACTAAACTCCATTCTACGAGAACCGCTTCGGATAGTAATTTGTCGGCAATGAGAGACCAATCGACCGTCAAATCGGGCCTCAAATCAAGCGTTTCGGCGCCCGATTTGACCCAAAGTGGTGGCCGAACGTCGAGTCCGAGAGCCGACAAACAGGATGTGAAACCGGATCTGAAGTCGAGCCAATCCGAGCCTAATGTGTCGGAAACGACTGACCCATCGATGCCTAAAACCAAATCTCCCACAAGAAAAATGAGCATTTAATTGACAATTGTTTTTATGATGTCTTTTATCTTTATATTTGTTGCCATTATTTTATTTCAATTGTAATTTATACACAAAAATTGATTTATGCTTTTATTCATACAAATGTTTTTATATATATTTTATTCAATTTGAGTTTTACTTTTGTTTTTAATTTTCAAATAAATTATTTTATTTCTTTGTAATACTTATTGAAAGTTTCAAATTAAAACATAATTTAAATGATTGCTATTTAAATTGAATTACGATTTAATTATGGGATTAATATCTCGGTGTTAAT